TGAGGGGCTGGTCGTGCGGTGTTCTCAGGCCCAGTGAGGTAGTGCATCCGACGGTCCGGATCCTGCTGAACAAGCTCCTCTTGTAGCTCGATCGGTCACACCGCCATCGCCGTTGGGGAGAGGGGGGACGACACTGCTTCGGCAGCGTGCACCTCGATCCTGTACCGTGTTTGTTATGACCCCCCCCAATGAACATACCAGCGAGGGAGGGCGAGACGATCGAGGGGTCCCGTACCATGCGGAATCGACCCTATCCAGTGCTCAAGTGCTCAAGGTGTGCCGCCGCGCGAGCGACGCTCCGAGATCGCCCGAGATAGCGCGGCGCGGCCCCGAGATCGCCCGAGATCGCGCGAGATCGCCCGAGATCGCGCGGCGCGGCCCGAGGCGAGGTGGGTTGGGAGCGAGGGGGCGGAAGTGGCCAGTGCGGTAGATCGGTCAGACAGCGCCTGCTGGCCATTTCGAGACATTCGCAAAGAACGCTAGCTACATGGGAGGGCTTCGTGAAGGATGGATTGAAAAACATTCGAACAAAGAAGAGGCGACGGGAGGAACCGGCAGAGGATGCAGTGACGTGACACACACACACACACACACACACACACACACACACACACACACACACACACACACACACACACACACACACACACACACACACACACACACACACACACACACACACACACACCGCTCACCCACGCGCACCGGGCCCTGCACTTTGAATGCCGTGGGGCTCCTGTCGTTAGACGTGGAGACGCGAGGGTTGCCCCCCTTGCCCCACCACCTCGTGTGTGTGGAGAAGTTTACCTTACCTTACCTTACCTCGGTCAGTCGGTGCGCGTGAGCCGGACTTGGGGGCCGGACGGCTTTCATTTCTCTCTGCTTCTTGCACATGGAGTGCAAGATACGCGTTCTGTTGCCGTCCCAAACTGTCACTCCCCTTTCTCCCGGCCGGGGTGGGGCGCGCGCGGGGGGCGGCGGGTGTGCGGGATGTCTGTGGGCCCGAGAGCGATATGCCACGTCCGCCTTGCGTTTGTTTCATAACATCGAAGGCTAAGCTCAAAAAAATCCGCCGAGCGAACTGGCGTGCGGCTACCGACTGCACTCCACTGAAGTGCTCCAAGTGCGAACTCTGCTTCGCGATGCCGATCCTGGGTGCGCTTCATAGCTCCCCCGCCCTGGATGTGAGGTTGCTGAGGACCGCACTCCAAAGTGCTCAGAGTTGAGGAGCTCCCCGTCGAAAACGCTGTCCCATCCCTCCCTTGGGTTGGCTGCTGTCTTTCTTTCTTTTGAGAGCGCCTTCGTTGTTAATAGTACAAACCCAATGGTCACTTGCGAGCGGTCCGTCGTTGCAGTCGCACACACTCACACGCCACGCCTCACTGCGCGCCCACCCGCTGCCCCGCCTAGGCGGGAAAGAGATGGGGAGATGGGACAGCGAAGGAGGAGCCCAAACACGTATGGGAGGTTTCGTTGACGCGTCACGCTGCCCGGCGTTTCTCACTTTCCGGGACAGCCCCGCCCTTGTGAGGCAGGAGAGTGACGGCTACCCCGTACGCCCTGTCGCATCATACTCCATCGCCGACCGCCCATTCCCCCCTCCTCGTTCCCCCCTCGAATGCTCCGGACCCCGACAAGCCGCCCGACGTTGGGCCTCTGCCCCGCACGCTCCCGCCCCTCTGCCCCTCACACACACCCAGGCCCGACATGCACATACAAGACAAACCCGGCGTCCTGCTCTCAAATTGTCCCTGAACTAGTACGTCAGCCACCAGGCGACGACGGCGACGGGCTCGACTTCGGCCGTGATCTGGTCGGTTCAGAACATGGGCGACTTCGGCCGCGAGAAGCTTCAATTTAGCTCGGTGCGCCTCACGAAGCACAACGAGCAGCGCCAGTTGAGTCTTGAGAGCGTCTAGGCGTGCCGCGGGAAGTGAAAATACGGCCATTGCAAGATTTAAAAGCGGATGGTCGTCGCTCCACAACGTAAGCGAGTCGGCGCCGTCCCAGGCTACGACTTCAGACCCTCCTCCCCTTTTGGATCCTCCTCCAATGGGGCTGCGGCGGAGGAGGCGCCCGCGCGGCCGGCGGGCACCCAAATGCTGTGCGCGAGGCTCGCCGGCGCCGTGCCGTAGGAGCGCGGGCCGAAGCGCAAGTAGAAGACTGCGGTGAGGGCGGCGAAGAAGCCGACCGGGTAGAGCGCGCCGCCAGCCATGAGCCCGAGCGCCGCCGAGAGCCACACCGAAGTGGCTGTGGTCAGGCCGTGGACGTGCGGGTTCTTGTCGCTGCCCTTAACAATCACCGCGCCTCCGATGAAGCTGACGCCCGAGACGACCGATGAGGCCACGCGCGAAGTGTCCCAGGACGACGGGCCCGTCTGCTCGCAATAGATGCCTCCAAAGGTGTAGAGCGCCTATTCACGGAAGGTCGCAATGAAGAGGCAAAACACTTCAAGAGAAACGCCAGCGACGAAGAGCGCCGAAGCGAGGCACGTCAGCGCCATGGTTTGGATGCCTGCAGGAGGACGCAATGGGCGAAACGGTCACGAGCCGTCGCAATGTGGCAACGTGATTGGGCG